ATTATACCACTTTTCATCTGATCATGTTTCTCTTCAACTATCCACTTCTTTCAACAGACTTAGCAATAAGCAATAGGCAGTTTTCTCTGGAGTCTTCATCACATAAAATGGTGGTTAATTAAATTTGCTGTGTTTTTTTCTTATTAATCTATCTTTTGATGGAGGTGATGTGAGCCATCAACCTTGTGATGTGTGAGGAAAATATACTACTTTTCCTCCACTACAAAAGAAAAATTATTTCAGTCACACTACTGTCCAAGAAGACAAAAGCTACAATTTTGCAAATAATGTCAGTGTCACATACACTGTCAAGTCCAAGAGAAGACCCACGATCAGCTAGGAGTCTATTCATGATGTTTCTTCTCACTCTTTCAAGCATGGGTTATTGTTCAAAGAGTGGAAACCAGATGTGACTCTGAACCTCACCCCCCAAATATTCACAGCAGATGCCAAATACAGACATAAACTATAGAATTCACAGTAACTTTAAAAGATAAAAAGAGATGACTCTTAGAAATGAATGAATGAAGAATATGAACTGTGGTAAATAGGTTTATAAGTTTCTAATGCTATCCTAACATAACTCTAGCTCACTACAATGACACAGGGACAACTGGTTGATGTTATCAGAAATGGAAAATATTCCTCATTTAATAATGGGAACATTTTTTGGAAAGTTCACAAAAGTAACATTAGACAATATGTAATACGTAATAAATATTTGATAAATGAATATCTATAGCATTTACTAAAGACTAGTAAAGATTTTATTTCAATTCACTGAGCAAACAATTGAGCTAAAACCTTCCAATACTAGGATTGTTATGAGCATATTAATATAAAGAATATTGATGGTCTCTGACTTAGAATTTAACTTGTTATTTTTCAACTTTATGGTGGCCATTAAGTGTGTATGCTAATATGCATTGAACAGAAAGTTTACTTTGAATGTTTTTAAAATCTTTGCCCAAGCTAGAAATATTCTGTAATATGCCCCCTTGAAATGCTGGATAACTATGAACAGCCCCAGCTCTCAGTGAGCCAGGCAATAAGAAGAGTGAACAACCAATACTCTATAGTGTACTAGGTCACCAGAGGTTTTTGTTGTTGTTGTTTGTTTATCTGTTACAGGTATTTGATAAATAACATGAGGTATTCAACACGTTATTAGAAAATAGGCTTATTGTTAGATGATTTTGCCCAACTATAGGCTAATGTAAGTATTCTGATCATGTTTGAGGTCAGCACAGTTAAGGTATCTGTTTGGTTGGTTAAGTATATTAAATGCATTTTCAACTTTTGATATTTTATGGGTTTATTGGGACATAACCTTGTCTAAAGTTGGGAGTTTCTGTACCAATAATGCTGTTTCAGGAAAAAAAAAATATCAGGATAACTACTATTTTCTCCATGTGGTTATCAAGATCACCCCTTTTACTTCTAGAACTTCTCACCTATGTTGTATGAGAGAATTTCCTGACTTTCTTCCTGTTTTATAATCTCTGGTGGGGACAGCTTGTGCCTCTTTGCTGTATCCTCACATGGCAGAAAGGGCAAAAGAGGAAGCTGGACTCTTTCTTTCTAGCCTTTTTATAAGGCACTAATTCCATCCATCAGAGCAGAACTTACATTGCCTAATCATCTCCTGAAAACCCCTGCCTCTTTTTATTGATAACCTGCACATTAGATTTCAACACAAATTTTGAAGAGGATATATTCAAACCATATCACTTGGCCTACATAGTGTTTTAAGCTGAAGGAAAGAGGTACATGTCAGAAGCAGAAAGTTCTCCTAATCTGTTACCCTTCTCTTCTGAAGGAGTTCACAGAAACTAGAATTCTTCTTGCCTCTTATTCAGAGAAGTAGGCTATAAAACCTAGTAAGGGTATTGTCTGACCTTCTTCCTCCTTCCTCTGTCATGGAATAGGTGTCCTGCCCCATACCCAGAAGGAAGCAATGTTGCATAGAGAAGTCAAGTATCTGAACAAACAGACCTTGTTCAGTTGTCCTCTGCAGCCCATCCCAGTTTATTATAATTACATCATACTCTTCTGTCTTATGATCACAACAATTCATAAAAATACAGTATTACTTGTTTCTTTGGCTCTTCATATATGAAGGCTCTTGTGCTATAAAAACTTGCATTAAATAAATGTGTGTGCTTTTCTTTTGTTGATAATGTCTTTTCTTATAGAGGTTTCAGCCATGAACCTTGCAATGGGTAAGAGAAGAAATCTTTTCTCCCCCACATTATCTATTTTCTTCTGACTCAGAAAAGCAACCAATTTGGATAGAAAAGGGAGACAAAGATGATGTGTTTCCTTCTAAAATCACTGGCATCAGGAGGCTGAAAGTAGCCAGGCAACTCTTCTTACAGGAGACTATTTCTCTTTTTTGATCATTTTTTTGACATTTACCTTAAAAGGCATGAACCATCACTTCTAAAACTTATTATACCTTTTTACAGGCATACTCTAAAAAGGTGATTTAATGTTACTCAAGTTCCTGAGAAGACTTATATGATTGAAAATAATTGGGGGTTATGGGATTAAACCAGGGGTGCTTTACCACTGAGCTATAAAAACAGCCCTTTTAATAACATGTTTTTATTTTGAGACAGGGTCTTACTAAGTTGCTTATGGTCTCACTAAGATGCTAAGGCTGGCCTTGAACTTGCAATCTTCCTGCCTCATCCTTCCAAGTCACTGGGATTACAGGTACATGCCACTGTACACGTCTATGATGAAAATTTTTATTACTATAAACACAACCTGCCACTACTTGACAATATCCCTGTTGATATGTGAAGTAAAAGTAGGGGCTTCACTATGGTGATCACCATTGTCTGTACCTACAGAATTCTGTGATTTAACAGACATTTACTAAATGTCTACACTAGGCAAGATTGTGGGCATTATTATGAGTACATGGTAATTAACAAACCAGATATGATCTCTGTGATGGGGACAGCAAAAATGATGTAAGTGCCAGACTGTCAGCAGCTTAAGGTCAAGTTTCTATTTTGTGCACTGCTACATTTTCTTTGCTCAGCAATAAACCATTGAACACTAACTGTAAGCTTTGGTGGATACTATGAAAGAATAAGGTGAACATAGGTGCTGTCTTACATAGACCAATCTAAGGATTAGGCAAAAAGATTCAATGTACCTATTTAGTTGCTCTGTGGCCATCAGGCCATTGCTGCTTATCATAGCCCTGTTGCTGTTCTCAAAGTCCAAAAAGGTAGAGAATCCTATTCAGTTTCTGAATTCACAGTCCATATAGAAATATTAGCATGTAGTAGGAAAGGTGATTTTAAGACAAACTACTGTCATACTGTTCCCATAGTAATTCAGTTTAAAGTGCCAGTGCCTAAAGCAAAGCAATTTTTGACAGGGGACAGAAACACTAGAAGATCATCCAGTACAAAGAATCCTATAATAAAAATGAAAACATGATTCTGATTTTAAAACAGGATCAATTATCACACAATCAAAAATTTCTTTTCTTTTTTAGATGTCCAGAAGGGTACAAAAATATAAAGCAGGCATCGGATCTCACATAATGTATACATGATGATCATGCATTTTGTCTGCCTCTTTCTGGAAGACTGAAACTCTCGATAAATACTGAAGGAGTCTTACACAAGAATAATAATTTCTACAATAGTTTTACTGCTGTAATTAATTAGTTTTTAACTAACTCAATATTCTTTTTCTCTGAAATAAACTGCTGTATATTTTATTTTGTTTTCTTAAATATGATATGCAAAGTAACAGCCCCTTACATTTTAATATAGTTTTCAATCCCCTTATGGACAAACAGTCACACTTTAGTGCCACTTAAATAAAGAATAGCCATTCATCTGTAACAGACAGATTCAGAATGCTCTGGATTTTCATTTAAAAGTGCTTAATTACCTGCATGAAGACAGAAATAAAATAAGGAGTCCAGGCCAAGTTCATGAGGGTTTGAAATTACTTTTCTTTTTCTAAATGAGCAACAGAAACTCAATGTTGCAAGCTGTTGTGTGGCCATAAGCCAACTACAGAAGAAACTGTTCAAATGAATGAGGGGATCAGGAATTAAATTCAAATGTATGAGGCAAGAACCAAAATCAAAAGGTGAAAAAAGAAGGCTGTGTTTCCAGTCACAGGACAATATATTATATTTGAATGAAAACGATCTAATCAGCAATAAAGTGAAACCCTCATGGTAAGTATCTAAATGTAGCCAGTTATATAATACAAGGTTAATTTTGAGGATTACCTATCTCCAAACACTTGTGAGATTATGCTTCCAACATTCCTAGTTATAAAAGTACTTAGCATAAATAAAAGAAAACATAAAACATAGTGTTAATTCATGAACAAAAACAGTGAGAACAAAAAAGAACTTTCAATATAAGTCTAAATTGTCATGCTCAAATAATTTGGGTTCAGAACCAAGACATCCAAGTTGGGAAGGAAAGAAAGTACATAAGAGAAGAAAAGGCAATATTTTAACCTTGAAACAAGGTGACTCCCATGTAGTTGTAGAAGGAATTAATATCAGATAAAGAATTTACAGTATTTATTCCCTCTAGAGATATAAAATGGTGAATCAATCTGCAGTTCAAGATATTTATTTAAACCCAGAGGAGGAGGATATGGCTTTAACTTTGAAAACCAAAATAGAAAAAAAAGCAACTCAGCTCTAATGTAGTTTATCTTTAGACACCAGCTTTAACATTAAACAATTCAAGCTAAATGCTATTTCTCAAGTTCTCCTTTCATATATTTCTATAATTTATGAGTATACCACATATAAAATAGGAGTTTGAAAAATATTTTAGCCAGAAATGCTTAATGTTTTACATTTGTATGTATATACAAATATAAATTATAATTTAAATATATCACATACTGATCAATTCATCTATTCATGCATGCATCTATTTGTATTTCATAATACTCTTAGTCTACTGATATTAGTCATCTTCCAATTGTCCTCCAAAACATACAAATGCCATCAGAAAATACACACATGTCCTCAAAAAATGAATGCACACATGCAAAAAGAAAATGAAAATCTCAGACCAAAAAAAATCTAATATCCATCACCGCTTTTATGCTCTTGGTTACATAAGAAGATTCTTTCTTTTGTTTTGTTTTGTTTTAGGTCTAATCAAGCCTCATAAGACTTACCTTGCATATCTTGTGGGCTTTCAAATGAAATTCTTCTTTGAGAAATGGCAATTTTTCAGGTCTAATTGTTCCCTTGCTTATACTCTACCTGTTTCCAAGCATCATGAAACAAAATTTATGCAGCTAATATAAAAACAGCATACACACAAATTCATCCAGACAGTGTTAGAGACCATGGAGCCTAGAATTAACCACGTGGTAAATAGGTAGACAGACAGACAGACACAGACTAACAAATAAACAAAATACTTAAATAAATAAAGGATATCGACATCTTTTCAACAAACTTATCATGTTGATTTTCTGCTTGAGGAACTTTCTTGATGTCACGTTCCAGATGAACAATTTGTTGTTCCATTGCTGCAAGGTTGCTCTTAAGATTTTGAGCTGAAACTAAATAACAAGGTGCAAAAGGTTTAGCATATTTTACCAGGTGTTCCACAAAATAACTAAAACCAATATCATTTAAAGTATTGTTTTAAAGTGTTGTTTTAACAGGGAGAACAGTTACATAAAGTCAACTCACATTTTTCGGAATTACTGCTCATAAAATTTCTACTCTCCATGAAATAAATGAAAATGTGTAATATAAAAAAATCATCATGTTTAATATGACAATGTCACCATTTTATTCAGCCATTACTTCAATGAATCCATTTCCATTTAAATTTATTGAAGAAATCTCTAATATTTCATTCTTTAAAATCTAATTTGAAGATTAAAGAGAAACTAAGGTTCAAAAAGAACTTATCTTATTAATGCATGTTCTTCAATCTATAAATGATTTAAGGTGAAATTATACAAAAGAATCAAATATTCCTCTTTTGTTGAAATATGCTGATTTTTATAAACTAACACCTGTAGTAAAAGTTTCCATCTTCAGTCATTCTCATACTCAACAGAGATGTGAAAAATAGTTGTTGATATAGAAAGAGAATTTAGAGCAAACCCCAATGAACACACATGCACATACACACCCACAAAGCTTCGGCATGCCTCAAACACTATCATTAGTTGCCTTAATTACCCCTAACATTCTCTGCACTTCTCTTTTTCTCTCATTGACAACTAATAATTTTAAGGATTGTGTTCAAACTGCATACTTTTCAGATCTCTCATGATGCCTTCTTTTCACAGAGGTACTTAAAAAAAAACTTTTATCTGTTTTCTAGATACAGCATGACTGCCAACTATGTACAAAGTCATCTGTATCACTACCATCAGCAGGATACAACATTCTAGTTAAAGAGACAAGGTAAGCATTACAACTCCACAGGTAGGCAGCCTGTGACACTGGATTTTAAGTCCTGGCTGCTGAGCCTTGTTCTTTTCATTAAAGACTGTGCAGCAGAAATATAAAAATATTATAATTATTTTTAAAGTAAATTTTGTTTCATTCAGAGACACAGCAGCATTACAATGAAAAATTTAAGAGATTGAAAAAAATCGACCCACTGACAAATTTCAACCAGACTGTTCTGATACAAATTCATCACGCTGATGCACACACCTTCATACTCAACAAGGAGAAATCACCTTAGATACACATGGAGGTTCAAGAGACTGAAAATCAAATACCAATAGTATAGACTATTTTTTCTATTAATCTGTCAATTAAATAGCTCTGTCCAAGTTAGTTCCATTTGTTTAGATCTGACAAGCTTGGAAATCATTCTTATTGGAGAATATAAGAGTTTTGTCTTGCCCAAAATTTGCTAATGATTCAGCAATCACTGCTCCCTTTATTTAAAGAATGAGTTTGCTGGGAAGGAAAACATTCTTCCCAACTTTAAAATGGAATTTTTTCCCTTAGATTTTACTGGTACATTCTCTATAACTCTGTAAAATTGTTCTTCCCCACTTACTTGAAACTAAACATAAGAAATTGAACGGTTGCTTGTGTCAATCAAGTTACAGGGATGTGAAGGGGTTTGAGGCACGCTATCACAAAATATTGCACCTTGTCATAATGAGTATTTTAAGCTAAAGGAATTTGAGAAATGACATGTATAGGAGAGGCTTAGATGTCCCTGAAAGAGGTCATAAGATTCTCATGTGAGAAGTATCCTTCTTAAACCCAGAGAAAACAAACCTTTTAATCTCTGAAGATGAGACAGAAAACTCTGAACAACTGAGCCTTGTTCAAAAGTTCCCTCATTCCAATGAGCTCCTATGTGTTTTTCTCCTATCAGGCTTTGGGATTCAATATTTTTCATCAAACCAACAGAAAATGCTCAGGTATAAGTGTTTTTTTGTGGGTCTTTATTTTTTCCTGAAAGTTACCATTACAGATAAAATTTAAATAATTCTAAATACATATATATTTTTTGTTGTTGTTCTGTGTGGTGCCAGGAATTGAACCCAGGGCCTTGTAAATGCAAGGCAAGCACTCTACCAACTGAGCTATAGCCTCAGCCCAGTAAGTAACCTCTGCAGTAGAGCTCCACATTTTCATTTTACCCTGGGCCTCACAAATTATATAGTTAGTCTCCCGATAAAGCACATATAACTTAAAAGTTAGATAGAGGGAGTGAGCAGTTAATTCACCTGCCAGTTCCTTCATGACTATAATTCTGTTTTTTTTTTATTTTTATTTTTTTATTTTTTTTATTGGTCGTTCATAACATTACATAGTTCTTAATACATCATATTACACGGTTTGATTCAAGTGGATTATGAACTCCCGCTTTTACCCCGTATACAAATTGCTGTATC